TTGAAAAACTAAAGTGAAACTTGATTTATTCTATTGCAGGGTCTGATAATTATATTGTTGACACTTTAAAATACTATATCCTACTAAAATGCTGAACAGATCAGATGTATTATTTAATAAAGAAAAAAAAACTCAAGTAAAAAAAAAGAAGAAAATTCAATTTTTCCCCTTTATTTTTCAATATCGCGATAAATATCGTACCGTGGACTTTTTACCGCGATATTATCGTACCGTGAGTTTTTGGTATCGTTACATCCCTAATCTTTAAGCTCACTTATTTGTCTCTCTAACTTCCTCTTTGTCATCCTTTCCTTTTCTCTTCCCCCTTCCTCCGTTTGCTATCCCTCTTTATATATCTTTCTTTTCCCCCGAATCCCCTCCAACAGTGTTATCCCACAGCGTTATAGTCTCACTGATGCAAACTGACATGTGAAATATAACTAATTGGAGGGTCTGTTGCTACTTAATTTGATCTGACAAAAAAATCTATCTCCCACTTTCTATTCAACATTCATCCGCTCAGAAACAAACTCATTAATGAAAGGATAAATTGAAAACAAGTTATGAATTTCCTTCTTCGAAAGAAGGATGACAGAACATTTCCTCCAGTGATTTTGAGACCCTGACAACATCGATCTTGACATGTGTGCCTGGTAGCCAGCAGTCGTTTTTGAATTGATGTGGGATATTAAAAAAGTATTTGTGATTGTAGGGAAAATATTGACCCCATATACTTTATGCATTTTGTTGTGTTGCTGCCTCAGTGGCACTTTCAAATCTGAAGTACAGACATTTTTTTTAAATGAATTGAATTACAGTCAAATATTGTGATACCAATGTTAAAACATAGAACTGTAATCTTCCCAGAGTTAAAGCATTGCAACGTATTGAGTATAATACAGTAAGTATTCACAGGCAATACTACCATCGAACAGCCTTCCTCCAAATTCTTCCAATCAGCAATCTATTAGCTAGTTGTGCATTACTAAAAATGCAAGTAGATATTCATCTTTGCCTTATATATACTGTACGCTGCGCTAACACACACAGAAGGAGCTTTCATCCATTGCAAATCAGCAAACGAGTATAAAATAAGTACTTAGTTAAAGTTACAAAAAGGTATTGGTTTGGGTAGAAATGCTTAAATAAGCTTATAAAATAACCTCACTTTTTTAAAGATAACTCCCCTGTGACTGAAGGGAAAATGTATTCTTGTAATCAGAGAAAAGGCACTTGCAAGCTCGTCCTTCAGCGCTTTATAATCCTTATTCTTCCTCCAGAGTGGGCCAGGGCAGTGAATTAATAACACTCTCTGAGGGCTGCGGCTCAAAACCTCTCTAAAAGATGAGGTCTGACAAAGTCTCAGCTCTAATTGTAAAAGCATTGCCACTTTTCGTCCGCTCCCAGGCACATCAGTGGAGGCGTTGCTAGTGAGAGCTGCCCTCTTGGCCTTGGCGCTGCCGTCGTGTCTCGGCCCTGCCAGCTACCCCCTCAGCGGGAAATCAAATACACTTAATGGAGAGCGGAAACATTACGACTGTAATCGAACCTGGAACGAGATAAGTGTGTCACCAATCACCACCTTCCTGCATATCCTGACTGTAGAGGGAAAACCTTTTAACATAACTCTGGTGTCAGCGGTCCTCGTGATTTCACTTGAATGGAAGGATGACATGGTGCTTTATGCGCTGAAAGTGCTCAATGACCTTGAAGCATATGAAACCCACAATTTCATTTTAACTTCCAGAGCACAGAACATTTGAAAATTACCTTTTCTGTTTAGAAAGCGTTACAGTTTTCTTTTGCAATGTGTAACAACCTTAAGATACTTTTCAAACTCTTAAAACAGCAACACAACAAATCATCCAATACAAACAGTTGATGGTGTTACAAAAACTGCATTTCTTTTCATTTATCTTTTCTACCTGTATACAACAGAGAACATGAAATGCAATGGTTTGTATAAATCACTGTCCTTTTATTCTAAATCACGTATTTGGTTGAGTGTTGAGTGTGTGCAAACGTATCTTAAAGTGAACAACCCATCTTTACTTCATAGAATGTACAATACAAAAAAACAAAAAACGTTTACTGTTATGTATACCCCCGAATATACAGGTATAGCCTTTGGTTTTAAATGTTTGACAATAAAATAAACATATACAGTAAAAAGTCGTACAATAAAAATAATATAGAAGAACTGTCTGTTTTAATATATCTGATATTCGGCCTCGTTCAAAATTACGATAACATGTGACTAACATGTGGCAACATCGCTGGCGTCCCTGTCTTTTCTTTACAAAACTAAAGTAAATAGGCTATTTCTCAATGTTTTAATGATCTTTTCATGAAAAAAAGCTGTCTCAATATAGCTTTTGAGCAGCTGTAGCTGCAGAGGCAGGGTTTATACTATAGAGAAGCCTTTAAAAACAGCTGGCCTGCTGTGTGAAAGCAAGAGTAAATAAGACAAGAAGATCCATCATTTTTGGTAATGTAAGCTTGTTTGTAAAGAACATTAAAGCATTTTAGAAAACAACTAATTGACTTCATATTCTGTGAAAACAAAATGAGCAACAACAACAAATGGATATAGCAATTACAGAAAGCTTTACTACTCCAATAGCATCCGTCCAAAGAAATGTGACGGCACCGTTATCGCCTAACACAGGCTTTGTGTTTTTGTGTTTGTGTTGCTTACACAGCCTCTCACAAACACACACACACACACACACACACACACACACACACACACACACACACACACACACACACACACACACACACACACACACACACACACACACACAGTGAGACACACGTCCATCCACTGAGGGTCTAAACAGCTCCTGGTGGGCTGCAGAGTGCACGGCCAGTGGATCAAGTTCTCCCTGTGATTGAGGTCAGTGTTCCTGAGAGCAGAGGCTTAGTGCTTAGTGCTGCCGGGCTCACCACAACCCAGATCCTGTTTCAGGGGGAATGGGCAGAGCTCAGAGGGCAACCTCAAGGTGAAATGCATGAGGAGTGTTGGGGAGAAGTGGAGGACTGATGCTGTTTCCATGTTGAAGATGTGGATAGTTTCTGTTGAGTAAGAAGACGGAGGCTTCTGAGTGATACAGAAATACTTTAAAGACAAAGTTAGTAGTTATTTGAATGAAATTATTTTTGAGAGTTCCAAATGAGACGAGCAGCTGGGATCAAGAATGAGGAAATGACAGATAAACAGATGCCTTTTCATTGTAGTTGAAATGCACAATAAAATCTAACCTCCAAATAAGTTTCTGAACAACTGTCCTATTCTTTTTGCAGAATTGTATTCTTTAGTAACAGTTTTAAACAACATAGCCATTGCCTATTTTGTAGTGAACACTGCTGTACATTCTTGTTGAATATTTAACTTCCCAGCTTGGATAGAGACTGGCATATGGCTCAACATCAATCTACAGAGCACAGTGAGCCATAAGGAGTGTAATCATCTTAAACAGAAATATCTATCATCCACTGTCCAGACACTGGACTGGACTGTGAATATGTATTGCATTTCCTACTATATATATATATATTAATATGACATTGATTTTCACTCAATTAGATATTTTATAACATTTACTGTGCATGCTACTGTATTTATGTTGTATACAATTTCAAATACAGATCAATTCTGTAGTTTGAATCACAACATAACAAATTACGTCATAATGACTTGCCTGTAATTACTGATAGATAAAGTTTAACTACACATCTTAATTATACATCCCAAAATACTGCCTCACATCTGCGTCAGAGTCCAAAGCTGTCTTGCGGTTCACTCTTCTTCTGCTCAAACTGTCAAGCATACTCTCAGAGCCTCGTGCTTTCACAATATGGAGTAGAACCAACATCCTTGCCTCTCTATAATGGTGATACAGTAATACATTAACAATAAATAATGAAGAAATTCATCACAGGAGACTTTGCATATAGATAGCCTACTTAAGCCGGAAGCGGACATTAACATAACGTGCAGGGAGTGCTGGATAATTAGAGTGGCTCTCCTTCTTCCCTGGCCTTTCTGTGACTAATAGAGAGGCCATGGTGACAGAAGGAGGACACAGAGCAGGCCATTACAATAAAGTGCCACCTGTGACATCATCTGTGAGGACCAAAAACAAACAGTTAGCCTGCAATAATACCTGAACCGCAAAAAATACAACTGTAAGGTGAGATAAACTTAAAGCTTTCACTGTAAAACCATGCCGGGAAGTAATCTACAAGGTCAAAGAGGTCACTAGTTAGTGCATGCTGCAGATTGCATGATTAAAAACTTTGTGAGGAAAGTCGGGAAGTCTTTTAGTAGATATTTGACTTCGTAGTCAAATAGTTCCTCAGCAGAAGTTGGATGTGATCATTTTCAGGTTCATATTAGTCTTTAGTTTCTCTACTCTGACATGTCTCCATGCTTTAATGTTCAAAAAGCTCTTTATTTCTCTCATACTGCCTGTGCTGCAGCACCTCTTTTCACCCTCTGTCTGAAACCAGAGCCCAGTCTGCTCTGATTGGTTAGCTGGCCGGCTCTGTTGTGATTGGTCAACAGCTTAAAGATGTCCCGCCCCTTAGACTATCATGTATTGTACAGTGTGTTGGAGCAGCAGCCAATAGAAGCGCAAGTGTTACATTGTGATGTGACACAATGTTAGGAAGATAACATGCACAATCGGTGTTATCTCTGTTTCCTACACACAAGTGTTTTATGACAATATAATTAGCACACTTGTAAAAAAAAAAATTCCTTTGGAAAACTCAATTCATACAATCTGTAATATTTAATTTAAGGATAAGGATATCCCGCATTATATTTGTTGCTGGAAATGTGTATTTCCACATGTATATTTTTTACTTTTTAATGCTATTTTATTTATATTTCAGAAATATTTTGGAATGTTTATTTCTCGTGTCTTAATTTCTGTGTACATTGTTACGACCCTGGGTCGTCATGTGTGTGGACATTTTTCGGTCCTGTGTTCTATGAGTGTGTGTGTGTGTGTGTGTGTGTGTGTGTGTGTGTGTGTGTGTGTGTGTGTGTGTGTGTGTGTGAGCAACAGGTGGTGCCCGTTAAGCTGATTAGCTACCTTCAACCTGCTGATTGGTCCACCTGAAGAAGAGAGGATACAGTTCCTCAGCCTCTCTCCGACTAGACTTCTCCTACTCCCAACACACATCTGCGCTGCGATGTCTGTCCTGTTACACTGATTGCTTATGTAGGCCTATACCGTATGCCGGTCCTTTCTCGCGTGTTGTGAGACTGTGTAGAAAAGCTACTAAACCTGTCTTTGTTAGACACGCTTTATTTATGTTTGCTTAGGAGTGCAAAACCCTTTCTTTTTTCCTTCTGGATAATTCGTTTTCTCCTGTTTTTTGCATTAGAGTAGGTAAGATTTTTGTACGTTTATTTTTCTCATTTGATAGGTAAGATTTTGTGTTAAAAGCTTTCTTTGTTTTGTGGTTTTGCTACTCCGGTGTGTAATAATTTTGGGTAAATAAATTTACAAAACGCTTTCTCTGTTTTGGCGTCCGTGTTCTTGGGAGTGGGAAAAGTGGGGAGAGTGCATTTTATGCTGCGCCTAGGTTCCCCTAGGTCTGGGCGTAACAACATTGCCTTGTTTTTTATGCTGCTGCAACGCAATCATTTCACCAAATTGGGATCAATAAAGTACTAATCTATTTGTATGTTGATTGATATTAAAACAAATGACTTCCTTTCCAATAAACAAAGATATAAACATATACTCAGAGCGTGTTGAACACTTGCCGTTCAAAATCTCGGTTCTCTAACCACCTGTGGACCTACAAATCTTAACTGAAGAAATGAAGTGCTCGATCCCCGACAGAACCTGACTAATTATACAGATCTCTGGGAACAGGTCATTAAATACAGGATATATTAATTTTCCTCAGGATTTATACCCCATCCATCAAACATCCTGTGTTTACTCCCTTCAGCATGATGGATCTCCTCCGTACCATCCCTCAGAGCAGGCAGGGCACTATTTATATGAAGCAGGTGGAGGAGTATTTCCTAGTGAGTTGAACGGCGTTGGAGAGCTGTAGCATAGGGTAAAAGAAACCTCTTAATCAATGTTAGCAGCATGATAGCATTCTTTTTTTTAAATATGCATGCAACTTCTTTCCTCATTACCCTTTCTATCTGGTGTTTCCTGCTGTCAAAAGTTACTCGCTTTAGGGACTTCAGGTGTTATCGTTCTCTTGACATTTACAAAAACAAAGAGAAAACCAATAGTTAAAGCAGCTTGGTTGATTTAGCAAAGTGCAAAACAAGGCAAAAATCTGCTGAAGCATCATTATCGTGATGCGTGAAACTTTCTGAAGGGCACCACCTGCAGTGGCAAGTGATATTTAAACAGCTGGAGATACCACTGTTATTATATCACACACCATATTTCATAACTGTGGATGGCAGCTGCAAAATAAGCCCAATCCCTTGGTTAGCATAAAAACAGGAAACCTGCAGATGTTATTTGGGATAAGAGCTAAAGTAAAAAAGGATGTGTTAACATTTTCTCTCTGGCTATCATCAGATTTTTCAGGAAACAATTTGAGTCTGTGTCAAAGTTGAAACTCAACAACTAACATAAGTGGTATTTCTGCAGCCAACGTATAATTAATGTCTTAATGTTCCTCCCTATGAAACTTTATTTGACACACACACACACACACACACACACACACACACACACACACACACACACACACACACACACACACACAC